TCACGATCATCACACAGGGTACGTCATCAGCGCTGGGCTGGTTAGCACATGCTTCCTCTGTCGCCCTTGCCTGCGTCGCCATCGCCGCCATCGACGCAGCTCGCGACAGCCGCTGCGCCGCGTTAGCCCCCACTCTCGTCGCCTCCAACTCCTTCTCGGTGATCTCGACCTGGCTGACCCCCATCGCCCTCTGCCACGTTCGCCTCGCCGAAGCCAACCGCCGCATCCGCCAGATCTTGCCCTGCCTCTGATCTGACCTTCTGACTGATTCCTGGCACGCCACGAACGCCGCATCGCACTTCAGCGCGCGGGTCATCCTCCTCGGCATGTCCACAAACTGCTGTCGCACCTGTAGCTTGGTCAGCCCGTCCGCCATCTGTTGGAGCTTGTCTGTCCATGGCCACACACTGCTGCAGGCCTCCATCTTCTCGTTCACCCGCAGGATCTCAATGCCGCTTTGCGCTCGGTCAGCGCAGCACGCCCGCTGGCGGTTGCGAAATGGCTGAATCGCAGAGCGCCCGCGCGTCCGCGATACACGGGCTTCGCCGAGCACGCCCAGCATCTGCTCGCCCGTCAGACTCAGTATCGGGAAGAGCGCGGTTGTTAGCATCGTCTTCGTGGACTCCAGGGCGCCAGCCGCGCCAGCCGCCGCTTGCGCATCGCCAGCCTAAGAACTCCGACAGATGCGCGCCAGCTGCTTGATCGCCCAGCCGACGGTCGCCAGGTGAGTCGGCCCGCCGTATTCGACCCGCTCGTCCTCGATCGCGAGCATCACGTGGCCCCGCGCGAAATTCACCGTCCAACCTCGTCGTGGACGATGCGCCCCGATGCACTCTCAGTCGCAGCAACTCCCACTTGGCCACGCATCTGATACGTATGCCCACGACTCCACTCGCCTTCAGGAGCCGATTTGACTTGTCGGCCTCCAGCAGGCTGCGCACGGTCGCCTTGATGACGTCGCCCCACGCGAACGAAACCGTCGCCACCGCCTGCGCCACGCGCAGCATGCACTGCGATGCTGGCCATTGCATGGCGCCACTCAGCCCTCGAGGTCTGCTGATCTGTTTCGGAGCACAGGGGCGACCCGGGTGCGTACGACGCAACTTCTCGACGTTGGTCGGCTTCACGTTATGTGAATGCACTGCTCGGCCTTCGCCCCAATCTCGTTCCTGAACTGGGACCGCGCGTTCCCCATGCCACAAAACGCGATGCCATTCGACTGTCCGAACTTAAAACTCCAGCCCACGGTCTGCACTCAGTCCAGGAATGTTCCTTCGCACGCCTGCTTGTCGGCAAGGTCGGTCTCGCACTCCAGGTTCTCTCCTCCGCCGATGAAATCGCCCGCGCGCGGGAACTTCACGTCGTCCAGGAAGTAAGCATGGCTGTCGTCCGACTCCCAGACAAGGCGGGGGTCGTCGCTCTCGAAGGCCAGCCCGAACGACAGAAAACCATACTTATCTAGCTTGTGCTGCAAGGAACCGATGCTCATCATCGCCGCCGCGACAATCTAGCCCCACTGTCGCGGGACTCGAACATCTCCGAAAGCAGGCCTGATCACTTCAAGTACATGATCCTCCTTCGCGCACGTTTCGCCGAGCGCCTCTGGACATCAAACGTCGGCCCGCCGAACATCCGCGGGCCATCCCCACGCGCGCTCTCGGACCGCAGGAACGCTCTCACTATGCCGGCCGCCACAATCTCCCGCGACTGCCGGCGCGGGTGAGAAGGGCGAGGCACGCGGCCAGCCCGGCGAGCGCGGGGCTCGCCTTCACGATGACATTGCTGGCCACCTGTTCCAGGTGCAAGCCCCGCAGGATCACTCGAACGCTTGCCCCGCGAGAAACGCCCCTCATCTTCCATTCCAGCAAGAATCTCACGGGGCAAATCTCGCCAACCACGGGCTCCGTCTCGCTCGCTGCTCGCCACTCTTGACTCTCTGTCCAAGGTAGCAGCGCCTTCGTCTCCGCCTCGTCGAACAGCTCGCTCTCGCCGTCGGTCAGTCTTCCGAGCCCCGCTTCGCGGCACTCATCTGGTAAATCGTCTCGGCACCCACCTAAAGCAACATCAGCTCCCTGCCCCCCTTGGACGTTCCCTCGGTCGTAGCCTCCATGACAATCGCCTGCGGGCTCTGGGCCAGTGGCCTCGAACCGCCCACCCTCCGCGCTGCGTTGATGCTCTCCAGCAACTCGTCGCGACTCGTCTCCTCCGACACGCGATTATTTCCACTGGTCTGCCTTCTCTGCGTCGATCACGCCCGCGGCCCCCTCGTCGTTGGCCTCGATTTGCTGGCTGCCGTCTGGCTGCGCGCCCTGACCCTGGCAGTCGTCAGAGACTCCGTCAGGCCACGGCAGCCCCTGCCCATCGTCACCGACCGGGTCAGGCGGCGACTCCGGAGACGCCGTCAAGCCCAGCATGCCGAGTGCACCTCGCCGTCGGCGTCGGCGCCCCTCTCGCCCACGCCCCCGTTCGCCAGTACGCGATTGTCCTCGTAGTCCTCCTGAGTTCCGATGGGCTCACCCACGCAGTCCTTGCACTTGATAGAGCCCGTCACGCTCTTCAGCTCTTTCAACAGCTTCTCCGCCGTCGATATGGGGGGGGCCGCAAACGTCGCCTTCTTCTTGGCCGCCGGCGCCCTTCAAGTAGTCCTGGCCGAAGCAGCTCGCGAGTCGCCCTGAGCAACGCGTTGCCGCGCGTGCACCGCGCCACTGACTGCCCTAGCTCGTCGGCGCGACAATCGCAGGCCACTCCCAGCAACTCTTGACGAGGTCGCCATCGCCCGTGTCGCGCATCTAGAAGTGAGCCCACTCCCCCATCTGAAAGTCCTGCGCCAGGGGTCTACTCTACGCTGCCAGCGCTTCGCGCGCCGCCCCAGGCGCGCAGGCTGCCGGGAGCACCTTGCCAGCGCCCCTTCGATTCACAAAATTACGATCAAACTCCTCGCCAAGATCGCCCAGGTCTCCCGCCCTAGTCGGTTCGTCCGCCAGGCCCCCCCCATCTCGGGGCTGCCTACCCAGCCCGCGCTGCGCGGGCGCGCAATCCAGCACGTTGCGCAACCGATTCCTCGTGTCCCGCGCAACTCGCCCTGCCACATTCAACTGGTCGCCGGGTCGATCTTCGCGATACCAGGCGATCTGATTTCGTCGCACTTGGTGGTTGCCTTCGAGAATGCCCAAGCGGTGATGAGCGTCTCTCGGAATGAGAACCAGCTTGATCTGCCGATCCTCGCACCAGTTCCCGAACTCCTCTCTCGCGCGCGCACCGCTCTGGTCTGCTCGAATCCTCGCCAGAGCGCCTGCCCACTGAATCCCATACTTCTCGATCGCCTTGGTCTCCGACTTGGCCTTTTCGCCCCTCGCGACGACGCCGGCCTCGCACCTCGAACTCTCGCCCATGATGGTGAAGACCAGCTCGTGTTTGTCGTGCCACATGACGCGTAGCGCATCGACGTCGATCGCACCGTTGAAGCCTCGGTCGCGAGGGACCCTTGAAAACCCCACGGACTTGGGCCTCTGCCTCTCGAGACGTACCTCGCAGACGCAGATGCTCGCAGGCCTGACCGAGCGATCGCCCGCGCCAATCATCCCGCAATGCTACCGCCAGCGCCTCCGACGATGGATAAGCACTCTGGACGTGGACCTTCTCGGCCCAATCGACCTCGTCGCGAGTGCATTTCTCGAGCAGGGCCTTCCACGCCGCGCGGCAATCGCCATCCCGGGCCACCTCCCCCACCGCGCAGTCTGCCTCGCCACGCGGATCGCCCGCGATGCGGATGGCCGCTAGGGCCGCCACTCGTCTTTGTAATTCTCCGCTCCTCTCACGTTTCGAGCGCCTTCTAGTAGCGCGCGCTTCTATTTGCAACTGCAGCGCCCCCAGAGTCCCACGCACATCTCGCGCTTCGTCGCCCACGCATTCGCCGGCTTCTCGATCGGCCAGACACGCCAACCAGCCGCGCCCAACGCCGAACAGATCCACGAAAACGTCGCGGTTTGTCTCGCCAGCCCGCGAGTCGTTCCCCCGCGATGTCACGTAGCGCGGATGCTCCAAGTGCGCGCTCCGCCCGCGGCGGCGCTGCTCCTCGTAGATATCTCTGCTGCTCGTTGTCCTTGTTGGCGTCGTTGAGCGCGTTGATCGCTGACCAACGCGCGCGCGGCGGCGCTGCCCATCCTGCCTCAACTTAGACGCGACAACTTCGCGGCGCGCCCGCCGAGCGAAGACCCAAACAGTGTCCAGCGTGAGCTTTTCCGACGAAAAATCGCCGCGCCACCCGGCGCGCTGAGAGATCCGGCCCTCGCCCAAGAAGATCTCCCCAAACTTCCGCTTCGCCGCCCGCTTCTCGTCGAGGGTCCTGTTCGCTTCACTGAACCCATCTCCAACTGCTCGGGGTCGAACTCGCCCACCGCCTCCGCGCTCGTCGCCTCGTCGCCGCGGCTGCTGGCCACGTGGAAGTCCGTCGGCCTGGCGGCCCACGTCGGCGTCGGAGGCAGCAGAATCGAACACATCTACAACTACACGCAGCAAAACTGCACCTTGTTGCGGGGGCCAGGGGTGGCTATCATAATAAGTTTTGGCGCGTCGGTCGGTCTGGGTGCACGGGCGCCGCCTCGCGACTTGCGACGGAAGGCGACGGTCGCGCCGACGACGTTGCGCGCCAAGCGTGGAAGCGATCGCCACGTTTCGCGGCGAGGCTCGGCGGCAACCGAAAGAAAAATCACAACACGAACAAGCGCTTCACCCTCGGACGGGGGATCTGGCACGAGGAAGAGCTCGAAAGCGCGGGGGATCGGATCGCGGATTTGCTGCTGGGGCACAGGCGGGGGAGGGAAGCGGGCCGCGCGAGGTCGAGGCCCCCAGACATAGGGCTGGCTTCGCTGAACCAGGGGATATGGGATGTCGGTGGGGAGCGGCCCAGGGGGCGGGGCCTCGGCGATGGGAAGCGCGGGCAGCCGATGCTTCGCGAAAAAGGGACACGCACAGAACAGCACTTAGCGGCCGGGGCGCGGTACACGTCGGGAGCGCGAGCGGCGGCACCCGACATGCACCCCGCCCCGCTGGCTAGGTGTAGTTCTATAAGTGCTCCGTTTTGTGGGGATGTCTCCGGCGAAACCAGCGCGTGCAAAACTACACCGAGTGCCTGGCTAAGTGTAGTTCTGAACGCGCTGGATGTCTCGCGCGGGGCGAGCACGTACAGACCGGCACCTAGCGAACAGGGACGGGGTACAAATCGGATGCGTCGTCGCGCCCCGCCCGCAGAGTCAGGGAGGCAAGGGCCGCTGAACCCCCTGCCGGCCTCCAGGCGGACGCGTCTGAACGCCCCACGGCTATCCGAAGGAATTCCAACTGCGGCTTCCGCCCACATCGCTCCCCCTATCAGAGCATCTCGCCTGGTCACTATGTTCCCCGTTCCCGCCCGCTGATTTGCCCTCCCCCTCCCCCGTTCTTCCTCTACCTGCCGCCCTCCATTTCCCTGAACGTTTCCCAATTGCCCCCGGCCCCTGCGCGGCGGCAAACGCCCGCGCCCCCCCGCAGCTGAAAAACTCACCTTGCGCTCATCCTCCAATCCATTCGTGAGGCGCAAGTCTTGATTCCATACTGACACTGGCAAGCGACGTCGAGGCCCCCGCAAATGCGAAAGGCGCGATCGGCCCCCTCGAATGGCGGGCGAACCAATACGTAAGACGATGTCGCAGAAGAAAGTTTGGAATTTTGGGATCCGTGCAAGATGCTAATCCACTCGCCCAAAGTGTAGTTGTGTGCCTGTCCGAAACGTGACGCCTCCTTCGCCTCCACCCGGAACTCAACGGATCGATGATCGTGTGGCATTTCTCGTTGGTCGATGCCTTCCCAGACTTGATGGGGCGTCGCCCAGGCACGTCACCTTCTTGTTGCGGCAGTCCACGACGATGCCCAACTCCTCCAGGAATGTCGCGCCACCAGTAGCGTCACTCGTCCAAGAACGAGGTAGACCGCTACACATCGCTTCGTCTTCCTGACCCAGACTGGGGACGTGACCATCTGCTTCGCCGTCGCAGTCGCACCAAAGCCGAACCTGACGGTCTTGCGGCACCTCTCCATCGTGATCTCGCTCGCCAGACCCATGTCGATAAGTTTCTGCTGCCAAGATGGCCGCGCCTCTAGACCCATCACAGACTTCGTCGCCCCACGATCGTCAACTCCTTTCCCCGCAGCCTGGTTGACCTCATCGAGTAGTAGGTCATACGCAGCCCCATGCTCGACACGACCTCCGCCATCGTCATGTCGCCATGGATATCGCGCAGCATCGTTCCGTCCTCGTCTTTTTAAGCTTCATCTCTCCGGCGCTTGAATCGTGGTCTGTGCCGCTGAGTAGATCCAGTGCCTGAAGCCTTCGGGCTACTTTCTGGACGCGCGGGCCTCTGTAAACCGAATGGCCTTTTACCTCCGTGCTGGCCTTTGGCCTTGCCCGTACTGGAGACTCCACGGGCTTTGCCACTGCTTTGACATTTGTCCTCACCCTTTTGGCGGTCTCGCCGTGCCAGCTCGCGGTACCACTGAATAAGATTCTCTCGCTTTCGCCAGCTCGTTCATCGTGGATTTCGCCGAGGCATATGCCGCGTAAGCTTCCTCCGTCACATCGTAGGCCGACTCCTGCTCCACGAGCACTGCGTCTTCCTGGCCGTCATCGTATACCACTCAGCTTCTCCTTCTCGGTAGCAATCACGCGGATCATCGTCATTTTCGTACCACGCATGTTCGAGTCTCCCCGGGTGCCATCAACCCAGTAGCACTCACCAACCTTGTACCTCGCGTTGTAGGTGTGCCGCACTTTGTCTATGTCAATGCTGTACGCATGCTGCCACTTCCGAACATCGCGTTGGGATCCTCCGTCACGACCTGCACCGTCAGCCCGGTGTTGCAGAGAGCGCCTTAAGATTCAGAAAATGCCATCCTGGTACTGCCGTTCTCGCCAACATGTGCCAGCCCGCCAGCTGATCTGGCAGCTCGAGTCCTGCCTCCGCAGCTTCGCGAACTCATTGCCGTGCCAAAGCACATACGTGTCAAGTGCCTCCCTCGATTGCTTCGCGAACTGCCCGAAGCACCCATCGCAACTCCAGGGAAACCCGACATCCTGCTTGTAGCGATACAACACATCCAATGTGTCGAATATCTTTTCGAACGCCTCGTTCGAGTCCAGCTTCTCGGAATCGACCACATCACAGGCGTCATGGGCATCACCCAGCAGTGTCTGCAGCAGTAAGTAAGTTCCTTCACTCACCATCTGAGGTCCTCGTCGCGCACACAGCCTTTGAAACACCGTCGCTGGCCGACGAAAGTTCCTTTACCTTCGCGTCGGGGAAGCACCTTGCCAGCCCAGCGTCCATATGCGGCAGTCGTTATCCGCAGCCGCCTCCGCGTCGCTTGACGCTTCTCAGCCCGCTGTCGTCGACATCGCCCGGGATCCGCGCCTTGTCCGCCGCTGCTTCTTCTCGACCTCCTCGGCCAGCTCTAGAGGAGCACCAGCGGGGCGCACCACTTCCACAGTGGCTCGGTTGGATGCGAGGTTGGCGAATCCTTTCGAGCTCGGGGCCGCGGATCTGGAGCCGATTGGTCCTGCTACCAATCGACAGCACTCCAATAATGGAACCGTCGCAGTCCCCACACACACACACACAAAGTTGAGAACAAGAACGAATATGAATCAGATTGAAGGGATCGACAAGCTTCGCTCGTAGTTATAATCAGCTCAGGGGGGCCCTACAACGGTTTGAATCATGAAAAAGCGGCGGCAGCAAGCACACATACGCGCACGAAGCATGCAAAGCACGCACACTACGCAATCAGCACATCATGCATAGCTGATTACATTGGAACAGATCTGTGCCATCAAGAAGGCACAGCCACCGTGACATCCAGCGGACTGATCTGCGTGATGTTTGACGATGTTCCAATTGTTTCGCGACGTCGGATCTCAGGGTCTGTCTGGGGATGCACGGTAAGAATGCAAGCCCCTTGGACGTCCAAGCAGGGTCATTTTGGATGGCGCACGGCCAGAATCCTGAGGGTGCAAAAGGCTGCCCATATAAGCAGACGTCCATCCTTGCCGAGTGGGCATCGGGGTACACTGCAAATGATGCGCAAGGGTGCCCTCAGGAAGTCGACTCGTCCTTACTATGAACTTGGCAGTAACCCCCGACTTCCTCCATTAACCAAAAAACATCGGGACGGCCAGCACTTCAGTCGAGAACTCCAGGAGGGCCCAAGACTGAATTTAGTCGAGAATTCCTTGGGGCCCACGTCGCGAAGAGCCGTGACATCGGAGACCTAGGACGGCCCGCCGGCGGTGGCAGAACAATGTCCACCACCGTGCCCCGAGGCACGATGTAGAATGTCTTCAGGTCCCCTTGAGTTGTATGCGTGGAGTGTTGGCCGTGCTCTTGTTGCAGGGAGCGCGGCTTGCGCGTTTTCGCCCTCTTGCACCAAGATCGCCCCCGAAACCACCAAGAGGCCCCCAAGAAGCCTCAAGAGGCCTCCGAGGCCCCCAAGAGACCTCCCAAAGGCCTCCAGGAAGCCCCCAAGAGGCCCCCGAGAGGCCGAGGCGCCTCGGAGGCCCCACGAGGCCCCTGAGGGGCCCCCAAGCGGCATCCCAAGAGACCCCCTGACGCATCCAGGAAGACGCTCACCCACAGCCCGCCCACGGTGGTGGGCTTTGCCGAAGGCCACCAGATTTCTTCACAATGTCCACGCATGACCAGCCACGCTGGCGGACGGGCTGGAGGCCTGTTCAGCCGCTGGGCACGGCGTCGTGGGGCACGGCGCTGCGCCTGCAGGCGGAGCCCACGCTGGCCGGTCTTGGATGCTGCGCAGTGAGCGGCACACCTCATTGAACAGCGGCCTCCGGGCGTCGTCCGGGTGCACGCAGGCAAGCGCCAGCGAGGCCAGCTCGGCAGAGACGGCATAGGGCCAGCCCGCACTGGGGTCCAGCGCGCCCATGCACCGCTGCAATGCGCCAGGGGCATCCGGCTGAACAGCGTCACGAATCGGATACACGAGATTTCCTTGGACCCTGCCTGGGGGAACGAAAGGATTCCCATGCCGCTGCTCACTGGACTAAATCGGATACACGAGATTTCCTTGGACCCTGCCTGGGGGAACGAGAGGATTCCCATGCCGCTGCTCACCGGACTGCACCTGGGGCGCGTTCTGAAGAGGATTCCGAGGCGGCTCCAGCCGTGGCGACTAGGGGCCACGCAGGAGGGCCACGGAGGCGATCGGCACCGTTACGTTTTTTCTTCCTCTGGCTGCCGGCGGGCATCAGGTTGAGGAGGAGCTCCAGCAGTACCATGCCGAAGGAGAACACCTCGCTGCCCTCGGTGACCTTCCCTGTGCTGATGTACGTCGGGCAGCTGTAGCCCGGGGTGCCGCTCGTGAAACGGCAGAGCAGGTCGTTGTCCTTCCTGCCCCGGGCCACGCAGCTGAGGCCGAAGTCTGCCACCTTCGCCCTGCCGTCTCCGAGCAGGATGTTCGCAGACTTCACGTCGCGGTGGAACGCGTGCGGCCGCGCGTTATGGATGTGGGCAAGGCCAGTGGCCGCATCCAGCGCGGCAGAGAGGCGCTCTCGCCACGAGAAGGGTGCGCTGTCGGGCGACTCCTTGCACCGTCGCAGGCGCTGCTGGACGTCACCACCGTTCAGGTACTCGTAGATCAAGAAACGTCGGGAGCCCTCGCAGGCCCAGCCCATCAGCACCACGAGGTTTGGGTGGCGGAACTTGCTGAGGATCGCCACCTCCTCCTCGAAGCCTGCTGCGATGGCGTCCACGCCGAGCGCTGCCAGATCGATCTCCTTGACAGCCACGTCTGACCCATCGGGCATCACTCCGCGATAAACGGTGCCTGCCGACCCCGAGCCAAGCTTGCGCCTGATGTCGAACCTGGCGGTCGCGGCCTGCACTGCGGAGAAGGGGTACTGGAGACATATATCCCGCAGTCTCAGGGTACCTATGCCTGCCGGGCTGAGGAGGCTCTCCTCGGGCACCCGAAAACATTCACGACACTTCTGCCTCGGCCCACCCTCTGGCCAACCCAGGCCCACCCCCTGGCCAACACCGGTCAAGCCTCCAGGCCAACCCCTCCGGCAGCGAGCGTAGCACAGACTTCAGACCTAATCCCTATGCATGAGTGACCTTTGGTGCGCGGCTTTATGGGGGACGCGGGGTGGCCAAAGCCAGGCGCGCAAGCCGCTGTTACCGCTTCGCCTTCAGCGATCGGGGGACCCCAATGGACCCGCACCAAAGGTCACTCTGGCGAAAGATCACTCTTACGTCTAGTCGACCTGATAATGCAGACTTGGGCGCAATGTACTGTCGGCCACGTTGGGGAATTTGCGCTTAGCGTGTCGCGGCGGCGGCCCCGGCGACACGCCCTGCCTTGCAGGCGGCGTTAACGTGTCGCTCCGACATGGCTAGCGTGTCGCGCCGAAGCTTAGTGTCGGCGGCGAGTGAGGGGGGGAAGCGAGACGGAAAAGGCCTTCTCAGAAGGCGCCAGGACTTCCCAGAAGCTCTCGCGCTCTCTGAAAAGTGTTCTGCGTCTTCGGGGAAGGCTCAGAAAACCTCTCAGATGGCTGGGGGACTTCCGAGCCTTCTGAGAAGGCCCTCCCCTCCTCACTTCTCCCCAGGGCTCGCCGCCGATGGTGGGCCAGAGCTGGCGGAGCGACGCGCCACACAAGATCAGCATGGGGGGGACTGGCCCAGAGGGAAGTGGGTCCTGGACCCCGGGGCCTTCCCCCAGGACGAGACCTTCATCCCGAGTCGTTTTCTGACAGTCCCAGGGCCCGTGGAGGGCCCCGAGGGCCCGAAAACGGCGAAAAAGCTCAGGACCCCTCAGGACCCGTTCACCCCATGGCGAAGGCCTGCTCCTCCGCGGAGAGGCCACTGGCCTGCGCTCGACTTCCAGTGGACGGCGCAGAAGTCTCCCGACGAGGCACATGGCGGGTCTGAGTCGCCCCCGGCTCTGGCAGCGTGATCTCAGCTGTCGGCGCGCGCGGGATGAGAACGAGCGCTGCCGCCCGATACGGTAGGTTCGAGCGGCGTGGGCGCGCACAAAAGCCTTTGACACCGCGTCGACCAACCTTGAATCGCTCGCGGCCACGACCGTTCAAGGCTGAACTCCGTCGGGTCCGGTGGCTTTACCGCGTCCCCAGGTGCTTCCACGTCGCAGATTTCAAGCTGGAACGCCTTCGCCAGCGTCGCCGGCGCGACAAAGCCGCACGATCCACCGTACACGGGCCGAAATCATTAGCTTCGACCCGGGGTACGCGAGGTTCACGCGCCATGGGGGGCACTGGCGAAGGGCACCTGCAGTGAGGGAGCTACTAGAAGTAAAGAGTAGGAACCCTCCAGGCAAGCCTACTCACCAGCAGCGCGATGTGCGCCGCAAGCGAGCGGGCACGCTCAGCGTGAGCTACCTGGCAACAACGCCGGCCACGCGATGTGCGGAGCGGGGTGCTGGCGCGTTTCGTGGCAACTCCGCTGTCAGCGCGAGGGCAGCCAGGAGCGAGCGGGCACGCTTGAAATTGGAATGAGCTTCCTGTTTAACAGTGCTGGCAGCGCGATGTGAGCTGGAAGCGAGCGGCCACGCGACAACTTGACAAACAAAAACAACGCGAATGCCTCCTCCGAGTGAAACGTCTTCAGGAGAACATGCAGTGATCACCTCTTGGAGGGCCTCTGCTGACAATGTGCTGCGAAATATCTTGGGGGTGTCGCGAAGCAAACGATAAAGTAAAGTTGAAACCTTCCCAAAGCGAAATTCGCCGACCCTCTCGGCGTGTGTGAGGAGCTTGTCTGTTCAAGTCGTCGTCTCCGTCAGTCGTCGTCTCCGTCGCCCCCCTTCCCTGCACCTTCCTCCTCAAGCTTGTCAGCGAGAGAAAAATCTAGCAATGTCGTAATCGAGTCGAAGGGAAGCCCCTTCCTTTTGATCCCTCTCCAAACAAAGAGGGGGGGGCCCGGGGGGGTCAGATACCCATCTCCCCGTTGGGAGCCCCAGGGCCTCAGAAGAAAGTACCAAGACAGGCCAAGAGTGCCCCAAGAGGCCGCCGAGACGGTCCAAGAGGGTCCCGAGTCGCCAAAACGCCTTCACGCCCTCCAGACTGCCCAGGAGGCCTCCAGGACGCCTCAAGACGCCTCTAAGAGCACTCCCGACCCCGCGAGGCCAAATTCATTGATTTCCCATTGGCTGTTTAAAGATTTGGCTGTTCTGGCCTTGTCGACTTCGCGCCGCTCCAAGACGGCGCAAGAGGCCCCAAAGAGCCCCAAGACGGCTCAAGAGGCGTCCAAGAGGGCCCCAAAACAGTCCAAGAGGACCCCAAGACAGCCCAAAATGCCTCCAAGACGGCCCAAGAGGCCCCCAAGACAGCTCCAAGAGCGTGCCCAGACAGCGAACCCGAACGGACATTTCGAGCCCTCGGATCCAAGAGGCTCCCAGGAGGCCCAAAGAGGTTCCCAAGAGGCCCCAAGATGCCCACAAGAGGTCCCCAGAGAGCCAGACGAGGCCCCCAAAAGGCTCCCAAGAGGCCCCCAAGAAGCTCCCAAGAGGCCCCAAAGTGCCTCCCAAGAGGCCCCCGAGATACTTCCGAAGAGACCCCAAGAACCATCCCGAAGGACTCCGGCCCACGTCAGCGTCGTCGTCGTTGCCGCCGCCGCCGCCGTTGTCGTTGTCGTCGTCGTCGTCGTCGTCGTCGTCGTCGTCGTCGTCGTCGTCGTCGTCGTTGTCGTCGTCTCCCTTCAGGGTCGGCGGCACTGGCCGTAAGGCCTTCGCAATATCTTGGGGTGTCGCAAAGCAGGCGATAAAGTAAAACTGCAATTTCCCCTAACTGCGCTCGCACTTAGGAGTTCTTTCTTCTCTTCTTAGGAACTGGGACTGACGGTCAGTCTGGCGGCTATGGGGCCACCGCCGCCGCCCCGTCGCCGCATCATCACCGTCCGTCGTCTGGGCCTGGTCGTTCTGCCGGCTTTGTGGCCGCCATCGCCGCCGTCGTATGGGCATGTCTGCCAGCCTGGCGGCTATGCTGTCGCCGACGCCGCCCTGTCGCAGCCGTCGCCCTGTGTTGTATTGCGCTCCAACGCTTTGCATTGCTACGCGTTGCTTTGCATTGCTTGGAACTGCTGTGCATTGGTTTGTCTTGCTTTGCATTGCTGCGGGTTGCTTTGCATTGCTACGCGTTGCTTTGCATTGCTTGGAACTGCTGTGCATTGGTTTGTCTTGCTTTGCATTGCTGCGGGTTGCTTTGCCTTGCAATGAGTTGCTGTGCTTTGCACTGATGTTCATTGCGTTGCATTGCGTTGCTTTGCATTGCGTTGCAGTGCTTTGGCTTGCCTTGCTTTGAATTGCTGTCGCATTACATTGCGTTGCTTTGCATTGCGCTGCTTTGCCCTGCTGTTCATTGCTTCGCATTGCATTGCTTTTCATTGCGTTGCTTTGCCTCGTGTTGTGTTGACTTGCGTTGCTTGGCATTGCGTTACTGTGCATTGCCTTGCATTGCTTTACGTTGCGTTGCATTGCGTTGCTTGGCACTGCTGTACATTGCTGTGCATTGCTCTGTCTTGCAGTGCATTGCTATACTTTGCTTTGCATTGGTTAGCATAGCTCTGCAGTGCGCTGCTGTGCCTAGCTTGGGGGGGGGTCTGGCTCTGGACCGCTGCTGAATATGACTTTTTGCAACAGTGCGTCCTATGGGGGAGACCCCACCTGCTCGAAACAGGCGCCACAAATAGCCAGGATCTACTGCAGGGGAAGGGGGGGAGGGGGGGGTGCGAGGGCCCGCGCCGATCGGCACAACAATGAATAAGAAAACGATCACTTTCAAGAGACTCCAGCATGCTGCCAACAAACATCCCGCCCCCACGACCCAGGCATGGCCACGGGCTGGTCCGGGCGGAGGGCGACGGAAAGAGAGAGAGAGAGATTCAGAACGGCGACCATAGCCGCATCCGCGCCCTCGCGTGTCTGGCTTCCGGGGCGCGATTCCGCGGCTACGCGGCCGCAGAGATATGCGCTCCGTGCAGGGCATCCACGAAGACAACTCTGATCCGCGGGGTCGCGGCCCAGGGGCCCAGCCCGCGAGGCCACGGATACGGACATGTGTTTCGCCCATGGCACCAACCAGGTCAACACGCTTGCGTGGGCGTGGCGGCCGAGCGGCCGTCCACCACGAACAGAGAGAGAGAGAGAGACGGAGAGAGAGAGAGAGAGACAGTGAGAGAGAGAGAGAGAGAGAACAATAAAACAACAAAAAGAAGAGGAATCTATATATATATATATATAGAGAGGGAGAAAGAGAAAAACAAAAAAACAAACAAGCAACACAACAACAACAAAAAACAAAAACTACAAAAAAGCGGACGGAGAGTAGAGGCCTCCCAGGTGGAGTGGGAGTAGATGGGGTCGGAGGATCGCGCCGAACCGCAGATGCATCGGCGACGTCGGCGATGCAACGGCGACGTCCGCGTGGAGAAGATCGGGCTCCGCATCGAGCCGCATCGCCGATGGATGCATCAGCGATGCGGCGCGATCCTCCGACCCCAGCTACTCGGACCCCATCTGGGAGGCTTAGAGAAAGAGAGAGAGAGAGAGAGACCGACAAAAGCAAGGGATACAGCAACTCCTCGGACCTCTCCCGTGGTGCGATCTGACCAAAACTGCGATACGAATCCAGCGGTGGCAATGAGGACCTCTCAGGAGGCAAAAAAGAACTGGGAAAGGGTAGCGGTATCAGTTACAGTCGAACCCAGGACAGAAGAACATCCCTCAAGAACACGAGATCCTCCGCCGGCCAAAACGCACAGGACATTCAAGGGTACCCTCCCCAGGGTGCACAAGAACTTCCAACAAACACGAATCACACCACGGCACCCTCCCCGAACCGACTGGAGCGCATTCCCTTATTTTCGGCGATGACGGGCGTCATGGAGGGGGGGGGGGCGACGCGGGGAGGGGCATGACGCAACGGCCCCCCCCCGCCGTGTGACT